TTTGGGAGGCCGAGGCAGGCAGATCATTTGAGGTCAGGAGTCTGAGACCAGCCTGACCAACATGGTAAAAGCCCATCTCTACTAAAAATACAAAAAAATCATATGGGTGTGGTGGCACACGCCTATAATCTCAGCTACTCGGGAGGATGAGGCAGGAGAATCGCTTGAACCCAGGAGGCAGAGGTTGCACTGAGTCAAGATTGTGCCACTGCACTCTGGCCTGGGCAACAAAGCAAGACTCTGTCTCAAAAAAAAAAAAAAAAAGAGTATGGAGTCAGAGAGATCAAGGTTTAAATTCAATCTACTTTTTAGCCTCCATAGGTAAGTTAGTTATTAAAGTCTTGGTTTCTTCCTCTAAATGACGACACTGACTTTATATAAACTGTTATGAAAATGGAAGTAATGCATATAAAATGCAAGGCATAGAGCCTGGTGCCTAAGTGCTCAATCAATGTTAGTTACTACTATTTAAGTCATGAAATTCAGTTTTATGGTCCTGTGTTCACCGTCTTTAATTCTTCATTTATAACACAAAGTGGGAAAATCAAACAAACTGGATACAATTATATAAAAAAATTAGGTTTCAATAAACAGTAACTGAAAGTCTGTTAGTATCCTGCTAACTACAATAAGCTAAAAAATGAATATACCTGAGACTCAAAGGAAATTGACCAAACTATGAATAGTGGCATTCTTTCCGCAGCTGAATTAAAAACAATTTTTTCCCTCTTCTTTCCATTTTTCTGTATTTTCTGAATTTCGTTTGATAAGCAAGTATTACATACAGAAAAACAGATTTTTATATATATACAATATATAAACATATAAATAATATATTTTGAGACAAATATTTTTTTTTGAGACGGAGTTTTGCTCTTTTTGCCCAGGCTGGAGTGCAATGGCGCGATCTCAGCTCACCGCAACCTCCGCCTCCTGGGTTCAAGCGATTCTCCTGCCTCAGCCTCTGGAGTAGCTGGGATTACAGGCATGCACCACCATGCCCAGCTAAATTTTTTTGTATTTTTAGTAGAGATGGATTTCACCATGTTGGCCAGGCTAGTCTTGGACTTCTGACGTCAGGTGATCTGCCCGCTTTGGCCTCCCAAAGTGCTGGGATTACAGGCACGAGCTACCATGCCTGGCTGATTTTAATTTTTTTTTTTTTCAGACAGAGTCTCGCACTGTCGCCTGGGCTGGAATGCAATGGTGTGATCTCGGCTCACTGCAACCTATGCCTCCCGGGTTCACACGATTCTCCTGCCTCAGTCTCCCGAGTAGCTGGGGTTACAGGCACACACCACCACACCTGGCTAATTTTTGTATTTGTAGTAGAGACGGGGTTTCACTATGTTTGCCAGACTGGTCTCGAACTCCTGACCTTGTGATCCACCTGCCTTGGCCTACCAAAGTGCTGGGATTACAGGTGTAAGCCACCACGCCTGGCCTGATTTTAATATATTTTAAAAAACTATTTACTAGTGAGTTGTTTCCTCAGTAAGGGTGATTAATTTACCCTGAACTACGCAGGATTCTAGTTACTGGAGCTCATTTTGACACATTTGTTAAGAGATTCATCAGTGGTTAAGGATGCCAGCAATGTCTGGTCGACATGAGAATTAAGCTCAGCTATTTCTGCAATACTCTCATATCATATTAGTTAGTATTTAGTGAAGTAACTGGGCAAATAGTAGCAAATAAATTGCCTCTTTGAAATAGTAGCCAAGAACAGCAAAGGAAAAACTCAGATCCTTGATATATGTCCAAAGCCTACCTAGATGAGGATGAATGACTAAATTAATGTAAATTTTAATCAATTTATAAAATGTGTATAT